CCTAGTCCCCGCTGAACACTGGATGTGATAGATGGGCATGCAACATTGCAATCGTCCTAGTTCTTATCTTTGGCATGAGTTGCTTCGACAGTTGCCGCCAAGCCTGCAGACCGTTTCTCCCTTCTACCGATCTCAAGATCTTCAGCGGCCGATGTCGAAGGAGCCCAACCAAGCTATGCAACTGCTCTGCGTGCGTATGCCTCTCCTGGTCCACCCCCACAAGGTCCATAGGCCCTGTAGCCTTCTCTGCCTCAGCCATGATCGAAAGGTCAACCTTCAATCCTGCCACTGTGCAATCTCTTCTTCCTGGTCCGTTGGTGAAAACACCTCAGGGTGCTTCAGCACTTTGCTTGCGCTGCCAAATCCTTGGCCTTTGCCTTTCTCCTTCTATTCTCTCAACAACCGAGCTGCAGCTGAGCTCAGGACCAAAGCTTGCAATGTATCTGGATCACTCCTTCTCTTTCTTCCTTCTTTTCACTTTCTCTTCTTCTTTTGTTTCTTCTCACCTTCAGCCCCTCAATGGCCTTTCCCAAAATTCCTCTGTCTCCTCTCCCGGGCTGTATATATATATATATAATATTAAGCCCCCCGGGTGGCTCCCCGGCTGTTACGCGCAAGCCTTTAATCCGGGCGCCGGCGCACGTGCCCTGCCCGGAGGGCCTTCGGTGGTAACCGAACGCTATATACGCTCGCCTCCCCAACCGCCGACCCTCGTCACCAAAACGGGGAGACCCCCTTCCCACTTCCTCCCCACCTCGGGGTCACTGAAGTCCCTGTAACTTACGGTGTTTTTTGCGTGCGATGTTCAACAACACTGTGCTTTACAGGGTTTTGGGCCCCTCGGCGGCCGAGAATTTCATCTTGGCGATGTTAAAAATAACGTAGGTTCTTCCATGGTTTTTGCTTTGCGGGAAGGAAAAAATCGTAAAACGTTGTATCGGAAGATGTTTGCAACATAAATTGCCTACATATCCCCAAAATAGGCCCAAGATAGCCAACATATCCCCAACATAGCCTCCAAAATGGCTCAACATAGGGCCAACATAGGCCAACATGGGGCCAACATACGCCAACGTAGGCCCAACCTAGGCCTAACATACATGGGCCAACATAGGCCCAACATAGGCTCAACATGGGCCCAAGATGTGCCCAACATAGACCACATGGGCCAACTTGGCTCACCCGACCCAGCCCTACACAGACCCTAGTGTGCCGGGGGCGCTCGGATTCGGAAACTAGGAGAAAGGCAAATGCGGAAACCACGAGGGCAACGGATTACAAATGAGGGCAACGGATTACAAATGAAGTAGGCGAAGGTCTCCGGATTTGGAACTCTAGAAATGCTTCTGGAAACTATATGGTGGCTACGGATCCATCTCCCTTCATTTTTCCTCACTTGCATCTTGGTTACCCTCGCTCTTGTGGGACCAATTGGACTTTAAGCCGAGGCACGGGAGGCTTGACCCTCAATCCGCAGCCCGTTGGCAATTTCCAAGGATCTGACCGCCCCAACCGTTCCCCACTTTGTGCTATTTCACAGGAACGTCAACATCACCCCACCCCAACCCAACCCCACCAGCGCCCTCTGCTTGCTTCTTCAAGGGAACGTCAACATCACCCCACCCCACCCTGCAGTTTCTGAATCGGGTGAGTTTCTAAATCGGGACACCCTGTAGGTTCTGAACCGGTCAATTTCTGAATCGGGGCACCCTGTAGTTTCTGAACCGGCCAGTTTCTATAAATTGGGTGAGTTTCTGAATCGGGCCTGTTGCCGAGCTTCTGAATCATATCGCCTTCTGTTCGGTAGAGCATGACGTATCAACAGTCTGGTAGAAAACATGGACATGGTATGACATGGTTCAATCTGGGGTTACGGTTGATTTGTTTGGGGTACAAGCCATGGTAAAGTGGCGTGTTGCGATTCGTGTGTTTGAGCCAACAAGAACAAGAACCCCGCAGAACCACAAGACTTTGAGGGTCGAGCAGGCATCATGTCGGAGCCGGAATTTGGACCCAAATTCCTCAGCGAGGCAGTTGACACAACTCTGCAAACTCTGAAAACTCGCACTGTTCAAACACAAAACTTTGCTACTAGGGGCTCCTGGCCTTACTACTAGGAACAAGAAGCTACGAACGGAGCTCCTGGCATCGCTACGAACGGAGCAAGAATGCTACTAGGTTGGCTGAGAAATGAAAGCTCAAAGGATCGGATGGTGCCAACCTTGGCTGAACCCCAAGTCATCAAACCGTCGTCATCGTTTCTGGCTCTCAAGAAGTGTCCTTGGCAAAGTGATACAAACATCAAAAACAGCCGGAATCATGTGACAAGCAAGGTTCGGGAGGTCAAATCCAAGGAGCCTCCAGGATTGAAGTTCAAGAATTCAGGGCCCTGTATTCGCATCTGTTGTCGATGAAAGCAATTGCATACTCAGCTTGCATCTGCCTTGGTTGGAAGGTGTCTAAACAAATCCAACAAACTGCATGTTGGACATGTTGAGTTTTGTCTGCAAGCGGTAAAGGTTTATGGAGGAACCTGTACGCAAGAACCTGAGCTGGATTGCCGCATGGATACGCTGCATCAGGCAGGCAGCCAAGTGATCCCACATGATGTTGCTGAAAATCACGGCTAGTTTAACCTTACTGTGCCAGATCCAAGACTCATCAAGCTCCAAAAGGCAAGTTCGAGCCAAATGATACAAATTGGAAACACATGCAACGATAAAACGATGAAACCTAGAAGGCAAAACCCTCTGCTTTCTCTCAAACAAGGTGAGAAACATTGAACTATTCCACTGCCAAAACCGGGTCAACACTTTCCATGCTGAAACCTTCACGGTGGCATAATGCGAAGTCGAAAATTGTGGGAGTTCATCTGAAAATGCGACCAGTCAATTTAGAATCGCACTAGTGCTATTGAAAGTTCGATACATCTCTTTGCGCAAAAGAAAGGCCTGGGAAGGAAGAACCCGCCAACTGCAGGAGGGGAGTGAGGTTTTTACAGCAGTGTGGTCTGGTTCATTCGCACCTACGGATGATATTCCAGGCACAGTTGGCATCCATGAAGATGAAACAATGAAGTACATTGATTGATTCAGAGGTGAGAGGAAATTGATACATAACAGGGGGAGTTGAACCTGCGGGGGGGGCCTACGCATGAATTATTCACTGGGTAGGGCATTCAAAACTCGAGGCTGCAACACAAACAAGTCGGACACCTGCACTGGCCCACGAGACCAGGTATCAACGGACAGAGTGGCAACTCCAACGGACAGACTGGTTGTCTCCACTTGGACGAAGGGTTTTCTCTGCACTGGTCTTCTGTCTTTGGCCAACCTGCGATGACGCAATTTCCGGACATTCGCTCTCAAGTGTTCTGTTTTTTAACTTTTCCGCCACCGGCCTTGGCTTGCAAAACCGCTGTGGGACCTGCAACTGCGCGGGGCTCATGATTCTGCCAGTGTTGGTTTCGGAACTACGCACTGTTATGCGAATGCAGCAACAGCAGTGCACCAGGCGGATACACGCCTTGTTGTAGGTGGTACCGCACGATCACAGTGTATGCACAAGCCGTGTCTTCATGACAAGAAATTCGGGTACCACAAACGTTTGATGGTGTGACGAAAGTCCGACAACTGTTGCAGAGTGGGCAAAAGGTCGAGTTCGGAACGCGAAAACAGCGGCAAACCCTGCTCACTCACAGCAAGAAACGTCGGCGTGACGCGTTTGCGCACGGCATCACGCGGGGCGACTGCCGGAACAGGAGGCACAGAAACAACAGGGACTGGAGCCGCGGCAGCACAAGGACCTGGTTCGAAGAACTCGCAGCACCAGCAACGCATGGAGGAGGCACACGCAGCACCGGCCAAACAAAGACTTGCGACAAAGGACCTGCAGGCGCCGAGGGTGGAGCCGGTTGAGATGGAGCTGGCGGAGAAGGGTCTGGTGTAGAAGGATGTGGTGCAGAAACAAACACAATTGGAAGCTGCGGCGGCAGAGTGGGCGCTGCACGTGGAAACCGGCACCAATTTTCGATCGGAACTCGAATTAGTATTTTTTAATCTATATAACTACACTTTAAACAAACATATTAAGTTCAATTATGTAATTAAGTTAAATATATAACATTTACTTATTTATAAAATATTCATTATGTATATATTTATTTACAAAAAACCACTAATTGTAATGAAATATATATTCCGGATAGAAAACCATAAAAGAAAGAGACAATATGCACAAGGAATCAAGTAGAAGAAATTCTCCATAAACAGCAGGACGCAAAGAGCACAAATCTTGCTAGTGATGCCTCAGTATGCGCGTGCAAGAACTTCACGACGGTAATTCTAATCCATTTGAAAGGAGCTCCTGAACACCTTTTCTTCTTTGCGTGTGAGTTCAGGCTACTGTCAAAGAAAGAAAGAAGGACAAGGAGGAAGACATATATAGATAAAAAGAAGAATGGCGCCAGGAAGGCAGAAAGAACGGCAAACACGATAGATAAATACACAAAACTATCACAAAGTTGAGTACACCTGAGAACAAGAAATAGAAGCGAAAGATAGATAGAAAGGTAGACAGGTAGAAGCAACATAAACAAGAAAGATAAACAGAAAGAACAACAGAAAGACAGACAGAAAGAGCAATAAACACAATAGTAGAAAGATATTGGGAAAAAGAGAAGGCCGCAAAGGAAAACAAAAGACATAAAGAACAGTAGCTGCGTTAAAGTGCGCGTGGACGACAAGAAGTTATATAGGTCCTATGTAAGTCAATCTTTTGTAGGGAAATTGCCAAATCAGATAGAAGAAGTTCCAAACAAACAGAAGAAACCCACGAGCAGTATCTTCTAAAATAGGGTACGTAATATACTTTTGTTGTTGCAATCATCATTGGAATCAAAGTCCGAATTCGCGTGCCTCAAAGAACAAGACGCTGAATTTTTAGTGCCATTCATTCTCGGAAAAGGGAAGAATGTCCAACATTGATCATCATCGACATTCGCTATTAGCAGGAACCACACCAACAAAAATCAAAATAGCACTTTCAACTTCTTAGATTGGATGGCCTAAAGACTCTCATAATGAATCCGTGGACCCGAACCCGAAAACCCAGGGACCGACAATTCTCAGTCTGGATCCTCGGATGAAAGGCTTTGCGATGGCCTAGCTTCTGGGGTGTCATGTCGATGTACATGAAAAATCTGCCACTCGAAACACCCATTCCCTTCTTTACATGATGGCAACATATATCAACCTTCATGCCAAAGACAGGGTAGCAGTTCTTCCACCCAATTATATTTGCCAGCACCTTTGTCATTGCAACTTTTTGTTCTCGAAATCTCCACGGCCCGCGGACGAAAGCTCTACCCCTAAAATGCAAAGCAAAATTCTACTAATAGTCCAGCTGTCGAACACCATCTCTATTTCTAAATCCTGGATCCAAGGAGAACATCCTCCCAACCTTGACGTAGACCACATAGCCGGCTAAGCTTCCCGAACATATTGCAGAATACCATTGGCATGCCCTGCGCCAACCTCTGATGTGAGGGTGATCAGTCTCTCAGCACCAACTTCGCACCCGAAACTGGAACAGCATGTTGGAAGAATACCTCATCAAGAGTAGGTCCATCAAGGGTCAGTGAGGCTGCTTTGAAACCAGCCTCATACTCAGTGGAGGCGCTCAACATGGTATGACTCAGAATAGGGGGCTGTAGAAAACAAACAAAACACTTCTTGACATGGTGTTCCGTGCCATTCATTCTTGACTTGGAATTGGTCCGTCGCTGTTGTTCGCCGGATCGCAGGCTGAATGGTTATATAATCGCTACTTTCCTTTTGCTCCGGGTTGAAATCTAAACGGAGCTTGCCCTTCTTGCTCTAGGATTGTCATCTTGACCCACCCGACACCAAACCGACCAGTGCTCCCAAGCGACCACCACCACGAGCCGCTTCGCGGCAAACTCCTGGCCTTGGTGGCTTTTGGACTGAACATCTGGTGAAGAGTTTTCCTTATTCCAGCCGGCCGTCCAATCCCCGAAATCCCGACGCCAGCAAAAACAAGGTGGAGATCATGGCAAAGTCAGCCGCTAGCCACTCTGCGACTCCAGTGATGCAGGGAGCCTGGGAGCCCCGAGCATTTCCGTACCATGCTGTGGTACCTTGGCATTTGAGGAGCTTCCACTACGCGAACTCACCAAATTGTCCATCCAAGCATCTTTGCAGTCTCAGCATCTCTAAATCGAAAACGAAGCGTGCGGGGGAAGATCAGCGATGGTTCCGTGAAGGACGCCACCAATTCGATCACGTAAAGCTGTACGAACCTAGGAGCCCCTAGTAGCGACCTTGCTCCTAGTAGCGATGCCAGGAGCCCCTAGTAGCTACGTGCTCCTAGTATGTAGGTCTTCACGACTTCGTCCTGGGCTTCCCAGCATGGCCTCGTCTCGCGACGCGGCCACCGCAGAATAGACCTGCGGCAGCATGTACCTCGAGCGGAGCGCCGTGGCCCCACGAGCGAACAGTCCAAAATCCGTCGAGCAAACAGAACGCTACGAACGGGGCTCCTGGCATCGCTACTAGGAGCAAGGACGCTACTAGTAACAAAGGGCATCGCTACTAGGAGCAAGGACGCGACTAGTAGCAAGGTGCCTTACTGCTTGTAGCTTGTTACTACTAGTAAGGCACCTTGCTACTAGTAGCTTCATCATATCAATTTCATGTCCTTTCTTTTCGCTTTGGACCTTTAGACTCCCTTTCTTTTCTTTATGTTTCAGGAATGGAGCTGTTGGAGGCAACGAACTGTTGAACACTCACCAACTTCCTATCAGCTAGGCAAAAAACACGCAATGCCAAGCAGCAGACTTCTCAACAAGGTGTGTGTATGTGTGTGTGTGTGTGTGTGGGGCATTTTTTGATCACAACCCCACGTCTGAGCACAGAAGCGCCGCGCTCGCTTCCTGATCCTCTGGGCCCCCCAACCACGAAAGAGTACCAACAACTTCATGACAAGGATATCTGGTATCTGATTGTTTAAACATCAGGGTCGTTCGTTCCAGAGTACTGTCACTGGAAGTTGCCGCCTCCACCGTGCGTGGTCGTCGCAAAGAGTGACCGTGGTCGTCACCAACGCAGGGGCGCATTTCGATCGCTAGCATGACATAGGCCTCTGCCGAGCAGCGTGACACACATCCCAGGAGAGATTTCTGATTCGATTCCTCCAAATACTCGCCAATGAATCAACAATACCTGGATCTTCCCATGCAAAATGGCTGCCTTTTCATCAAAACACGCTAGAAGGCGGAAAGTCTGCCTACCCAAACCCTGGACTGCAGAAGGAACTATCAACGGTTATTTAGATCCACACCCGCTCGCTCTAGAGTACATAGACTGCTCAACAGTCAAACACTGAGTTGCGGGATCTCAGCTTTGAGCAAGGATCCGCAAACACTTTGATGTAGCAAAAGGGTCTGCGATACAACTCAGCTTGAATAGAGTCAGAGTCTGGATCGGCCTCATGTTGGGCGGGGTGCTAAGAGTTTGTTTCAACAACACAGTGTAAGGGAACCAAAGCTTCAAGCATGTCGGCTTCGGTTCAAGTCTGTTCCAAAAGACTGCTACTTTCCCAAAGACTGGCGCCTGAGCTTCCTCACGGTCATCTGATTCGATCAAGCCAGTGTCCTCGCCACAGCACGGCATCAGCGGAAGCTTCCGAGACGAAACTCAACAAGCCCCAAGAAGCTACTGGAGGGGCTCCTGGCATCGCTAAGAACTGAGCGATCGGACGCTACGAACGGGGCTCCTGGCCGTAGTACTACGAGCAAGAAGCTACTAGGAACAAATAGACCGAGACTAAAGCCAACAAGCCCCCGAACTCCCCAAATTACAGGGCCGGGCAAACCCACGTGTGAAGCCTTCGGGTTAACAAGTAGAGGCAGTGTGTGGATGATGAGCGGAGATGTGAGGGACTATGAGTGTGCGAGCGAGTTGAGTCGGTGTGAGTAAAACGAAGGGAAAGGCAAGGCTGGTGAAAGTGAGTGAGTGAGTGAGTGAAAGTGATGAGTGCAAGTGGTGTCAGTTGCGTTGGTGTGAGTCAGGTGAGTGAGTTGGCGTGATCTGTGTGAGGAGGCGAGAGGTGGATGTCAAAGGAAGAGGCGGAGGCGGAGTAGAATCCGAACCCCACACATTTGAGAGTAGGTGTGAAGGCCCCTCCAATGAGATTCATCTTGGTGGCCCAGGCCCGATGGGAAAAGCATTTCGACGGAAACAGCCAGGTTGGTGGGCTGATGCATGCAGAGCCAATGAGCTCTCATATCTTTCATGATGGCCTCCAGCCTTGTAGCGATGGCCTCCAGCCTAATAGCGTCCTCTCATCAAAGCAATGCCCTTTGTTCCTAGTAGCTTCTTGTTACTAGTAGTAAGGCTAGGAGGCCCTCGTAGCGATGCCCTTGCTCCTAGTAACATCCTTTCATCATTCCCCACCCTTCATCACCCAAAAAAGGGTCCGTGGCGCCCTCCACAACGCCAGTGCCGAATAATCTCAGCACTGAGTTGGTGATGAAGCTCGCGCACCTCGAGGTCTTCCGCGGAGGGACGCTTGATCGGCATCTCCACGAGGTCAAACTCATCTGGTGGGGGTCTGGATCCTTTCGGCTTGAAAAGGGGTTGGGTCTTCTTAAGTTTTTGTATATTCCCTGCGCTTTGATCACTCTCCTTCGGCGGGACTTCTTTTGCATATCCTTTGCCAAGAATTGAACGACTTGACCTTGGACCCCAAAGCAAGGGCTGAAGAATCAGAACCCCAAAAACACAGTCAAAAAACGAGGCAAACAGTTGTACCTTTTGCATGTCAGCACAGCTTTTCAACTTGGCAACCTCCGTTGGTATTGGTAGATCTTGCTTGCACGTATACGGACAGCCTTTGCTGGATGGAACCATCGGGCATTCCTAAAAGCACCATAGTATGATCACACAAAAATGTGAGACAATGATCGCTTGACGAAGGAACAATGCAAAAAAGCACCGTTGGCGTTTTCTGTGACATCACTGCATGAACCGTGTCTTGTGGCGCGCCTTTCTCGACACACTGCCCAGGAAGGCCTGGAGCCCCTGTGCCACACGGTGGCGAAACCCTGCCCTTTCACATTTTCCAAGTCACGCGCCAGCCAGGAGGAAGGCCAACCAGGTCTTCACGGAGAAGCTAGCGCCTCGGAGGATGGAAGAACAGCACCATATGAGAACCGGGGCGTGTGTATGTGAGCATGTTTGGTGTGAGCTCCGACGTGGCATGCCGTCGCCAAGGCATGAAATGGTGTTGGATGCTCAGGAACAGGATAGAACAGGTGTCCGATGTTCGATGGAGTCATCACCATGGGGCACAAGAGAGGGGTTGGAAGCCAGGGATGTTTGCGATCGTCATGGATTATGAATGCCCCATCACCCCTGCGCCACCTTTTCGAGTAGTAGTGGGCCATTTCGCTGGAGCATCTGCCCCATCCTGTCGACCCGGCCGTCTGGGTTCGCTGCTTCTCCCTCGGGTCCCAGGCCGTGCAAGAAAATGCTGCCCACGGTGTCGATGCTCCCGAAGGGTGGGAAGAGGAACTGGCAAGACGGTGGAGGCACAGCAGATGGTGGCTTGGTTTTGCTTGGCTCCCAAAAAAGCTGCTTGGTTGGAAACCAAGTGTCCTTAGGATGTAAGCAAGCAGTTCGACATTATGGTCATACTTCGGAATCCAGAGTCAGAGCGATGTATGTATAAATACATGTATATATATATATATGTATTATGTGAGTCTGCTCAATAGTGTCTTTCTTTAGGGCGAAAATGCGATCATTTCCGGAATCCAACGTGACGGTCTCGTCTGAGCATCGGCTCCGTTACATCGAAGCGCCTCTCCAAGACGCTTTCCATTAGGAACAAGGACGCAACGAACGGGGTCATTGGCCAAATGCGATCGTCTAGCCCCTCCAGCTCCCAGTCCTGGAAGAAAACACGGGGGAACGCCTGCACACAGGGCACGAGGACGTCCGAACTGCCAACGGGAAGTGCCACAGACATGGTGTGAACATTGATCTTGAGACGGATGTAGATGGCATAAATGTCCATAAACTCTCAGAAACTCCAATTTGACTCATGCTAGTTGTTGACTTGTCAAGAGCACCTGGTGGGTGTTGTTCCATCTAGTCCAATCACTGGTAGGCAAGTCTACAATGCCGAAATCATGTGCACTCATGCAAGAAATTGTTGTGGAATAGAATGTGCTTATGAAGTGCATCACATGGACAATCGACCGAAATGGCCTTCGATTACTGTAAGGTGTCCGGCCCAGACCTCTGAAGCCGGACATAGGACGGAAAACGAAATGGACGCTACGTTCGGGGCTCCTGGCCTCACTACGAACGGAGCAACGACGCTAAGGTCTTTCTGCCTTTGCACCCCACCATCTCAAGAGAAGCAACTTTGTGGATCCATCCCCACGATGGTACGAGGCCGCCCCCCCCCAGGACATTCCAGGAATTGGGCTCCAGACCAGCCAAGATAGCAAGGAGTTCAGAAGATTGCAAGGAGTTGGCCTCAGCATGCATTCTCTCCCGATGTTGATGTTTTGTGTCCATGAGCTTCGGGGAATCCATCATGGCCTCTTTGTCCAAGAGATGTTGAACAAACACAAGCTGTGCTGTTGCTGCCAAGCATCGCTTCAGCTTGCGTTCTCTAGCGTCAGGGTATGACGATCGAGCTGGCACGGCTCGATCCATTCCCACTTCCCTCGAGACCGTGGAGAAACCCCTTGGCACAAGCTCCTTAAGGGGCCGAGACGGCCCAGAAGGCGACCCTAGTAGCTTCTTGTTCCTTATTCAATTGCAAAGCTCATTCACCTTCGAAACTTCTTCCCTCTCCCTCTCTCCCTCTCACTCGCCACCATCGGTTGGACTGGCGAGACTGCCGGTGGCGTCACCGAAAACCACGAAGACCATGTGCAGTGCTGCTCTGGGGCGCCCTGCAGAAGGGACCAGCCTAATCTGCTCCAAAACCTGGAGCTCTGATTCCCCCACCAGTTTTTGGACCAGAGGCGCAGAAGGGACCAAGTGCTCATTCCCCCTGCTCTGGAGCTGCAGAAGGGGCCATTTCATCTCAAAAAGGGTGATTTTGTCTTTGACCGATTGGTGCGAGTTTACTCAAACACACACCCGAGGTATTCCACTCACCGATCTTTGGATTTGACACTGAGACCATGGAGATCCAGAATGACCGACTTCTTTGCTCAGGCCTTATTAATTGGACTGTGGTGCTGGCCTTCCAAGAACGTAATGCCAATGAAGATCCACACAAACATCAGAAGCAACGAGAGAAATGGACACCAGCGAATTCAGCTGCAGCAAATCCAAGAAATGAATCTTTTAGCTGCTGTATGTATGCCTTCTTGATCCCTCTCCGTATTGAAGGGAACAGTAGCCAAGGGACAAAACAAACACGTGCGAATGTTGGCGACCCAAAACAAGAAACTATTATTACTACTAGTAAGGCACTTGTTACTACTAGCGATGCACCTGTGACTAGTAGCTTCCTATGCAGGTGTTAGAAATTGGAAACGCTGGCAGCAACAATGGACTCAGGAGCAGTGCTGCCACCCAAACTCAGCTCATGTCAGTTCGAACCACAACTTGTCGAGCGATAGGGAGGATGAAAAAAAGCCTACGAAGCAAATGACATTCTCTTCAAGATGTCAGGTGGTGCTGGAGAGAGAGATTGGCCGTTCTACAGTTCTACACGTTCCTACCTCGTTTGTCACCTGCCCTGCCTATTCAGGTCTACATCGATGCACACACATCGAATGCCTCTGCGCGGGAATGCCGGGGGGAACATGTGACACATGATAAGTGGAATCCTGCCGACAAGAGTTTTTGTATCACACAGGGAACTTCTTGAAATGATCGGGAATGAACGAAACCAGGGATGCCGGGGCGGAATGCTGGCATCTGTGAGTGGATCCTGGCCGACACCGAACATCACTGGAGAAATAGAGCTAACCAGTCGGAGGTTCCAAACCTTGCAACCCTGCAGCTCTGGCATTTAGTATATTAGGTGTTTGGCTCCACGCTCCAGTTTCTTTGGATCAAAACACATGGATAGCCGCAGGAAATCTCACTGGCACAAGCATCCTTGAGCTGCCAAACCTCTGCTTCCTCTGCACACAGAGACCCCCAAAACCAACCTACCGCCTGCGAGCATAGAGACAAACATCAAAATGTGTCCTGGGGGAAATGATCGGGGAGCACCGATTGGGAATGACTTGGCATCGGGGGGGATCGCTTCACCACCATTCTTCACAGCTCAAGAGATCCTTTGAACGCCATGAAGCCATGTCTGAACTCCCCCCTGAACACCAGGAAAATGGTTGGAAGGGCCACCCAACTGCATGTGGCGAATGGGGCCAGCATGGGCTGTACGTCCTTTTTCCACTGCAGGGCGGATTCAAGGCATCCAGGGCGAAGCCTTGAAGTGGTGTCGGGTTCTCGATACGAAGCCCAACAGGTCACCCTTCGTCCCACTTTCTTCCGGATGAAAACTCGAACAGCAAGAGCTTGGATTCAGACAAAAACACGAAGCTCAATGCATTCCACCCCTGTTCACCTCTCTCCCACACGCCGTGCGTCCTGAACGCGTCCTGTGTGCCCGCGCCGATGTCTCTGGCCGCCAGCTCGGCGGCCAAGAACTCGCCTCCGACCTCCACGGCGAAGCACCTCGAGCGACATGAGCCAGCCCAGCCCAGCCTTGAGGAACACATGAACCGCCATTGGAGATGAAATCGGAACGTTTTCTGGTGAGGTGAGAAGCAGTGAGCAACGCGAGGCAAACGTTCTGGGTAGCGCTTTCCAGCTTGTCCTTCTCAGTCTGCTTGTGGGTCAAGCATGAGATGGCAGCCAACGTCTCCACTCTGAAAACCTCCTACAGAAGTTCCAAAATGGGTGGTGCCTCCATCAAGTAGCGTTTGTCGCGACATGCCCGTGGCATCCCACCAACACTGCGTCTTTCGCACCGCCCCATTGAAAGGAGGCCATGCGAATGCTGAGAAGGGTGGGTTCAATCAGGGGGAGGAGGCCCCGGGGAGGCCATCGCTAGTAGATTGGAGGCCATTGCTATTGGAATGCTTCGGGTGGGCCTTGATGCCAGTTCTCATGACGGCCTTGTCGGTCTCAGCGCCACAGCGAGCTCGACACCGCCCGAATGGAAGGGAAAAAATCTGGGTGACCGGTGGCCCCAGCTGGGCCGGCAACGGGTGCGTGCATTCGTTTATTCAGGGTGTGTGTGCCATCAAGGGGACCACAACCTCGAGCTTTGCCGCGCACCCTGTGAATGCAAGGTGGTGCTTGGCGGACCCCACAAATAAGGGGGGGCGCCTTAATTAAGGAATGTGAATTTTCAACAAGACACCTTAAACTTTGGCAGCCAGAATCCTGATGTTTTTCTGAATTTGTGGAGAAGTCCTGTAGAGGACTAATTGATGTGGACCAAAATCCTTTAGAGGACAGCTGGTGGTGTGGAGTAAATGCCTTGGAGGATTGCTTGTGGCGTGAATTTTTAATTGCCAGAGCTGAAGTACAGGCATTGTGAGTTTGCAGAAGCTTGTGAGAGTCTAGGCTCAAGCGTATAACATCCAAAATGGATAGCAGTAGACACATGAAGCCTCTATGGAGGATTTGTGTAAACATTTGAAGCTGCATCTTTCCAATTGTCCCACTGCTGCCTTCAAAACCTGGTCAATGGAGGAAATGGTGCAGGAACATAAAGAGCTGGTCAAAGAGTTGCTTCTTTTGACTTGCAAACTAAATGCTAAGTGGCTGGATGCTGGTTTGCGAGATTCTTTTCAAAAGATTTCAAAAGCTACAGCCAAAGCTTGCCAATGACTTCAGCAGGAGATTGAATGATGCTGTCCATTTATGCTTTCAGAAGTTCAGGCAGCAAGTATCTTGGGTTGAAGCTGCCACCTTCTGTAAAACGGATTTGTGCGCTCATCAAGTGTCTTTTTAATTCCTTGAGCTTCCTTTTTGGGAGTGCTGAGTGCGCAGGAAAAATACAGCCCAGGAAATGAGATCATGAGCTGAGCGTAGAAAACATTACCAGCATGTATCATTTGCTCGATGCCCAAGTGGCACAAGTGCAGGGCAGGAGTTCAACAGCTTCTTTTGGAAAGCGTGAGCCAGCAATGCCGGCAGTGTACCAAGATGAAGCTTCGATTGTGCGCTTCGTCAGCGATTCGAAGAGGGTTGAGCCAAAGGTTGGGAGCAAAGTTTCTGAAGTTTCAGGCTATCCCTGCTGTGGAAGGTCCGACCCCTGCGAACTGGAGGGTGCCAGGATTCGTGTGGTGACGGTACTAGTTCCGCAAAACAAAGCAAGGTGGAGCCGCTTCTCTTCCGAGACCCCTTTAACCTGGTCAGTGTCCGGATTGGTTCACCTCGCTGGATTGCCTTCCCATCTAGTGCAATGACCGAAAACCAAGGTCCTAGACAGCGTTTGCAGGTTTCACGTCTAAACCCCACATGAACCCCAAAGCGATCTCTCCAAATCGACTGCGCCAAGGCACTGGATGATGCCATACATCACCCCGATTCCCGAGCAGAAGAGGCCGCAGGCCTGGCCAAACTCAGCGACTCGACCCCCAAAAGGCTCCGATGGAGCATCCCACATGTCCCACATTTGGTCGTTCCGAGCGTCCCATGCTTTTGTCCTTTGTGGCGCGCCAACGGCCCAGCCTGGCATAGCTTCTTTGGCAAGGACCGCCGCGGGTAGGGGTCAGACTTCACGGTGAAGTCGCCAGTGACACCTGGCGAGTCTGGCAGACGGCTGAAAGACGTCGATGCGGGACACATGGAGCTTCAACCCAGCGAGGGCGTCCAAATTGGAGATTGGGTCAGCGAGGCGAAGAGATGAGGTTGAAGGGGCATTAAGCTAATAGATTGGGCTTCCTAATAGCGAGGCGAAGCTGCAATGCGCTACGCCGCTGCGGCTGGGGCCCGTGCTTCGGCCACTCCGGCAAAGCCTGCGGGTCGGAGCAGTGGCACAGCTGTGTTCATCTGAGACGTCGTCGTGGGGCATGACATCTCGCATTAATGTGTCAACAGCCTTGGACTGCCTGAAGAATCGCAAAGGTCTTGGCAGCTGAACCCACAACACTCCCTTGTTTGTTGCGGATGTCCAAGTGCAAGGCACTAGAAAAAGGATCTTGCCTCAACCGAACCAAACCGACGGTCTTGGGAGCCGGGCTGGAGGAGCTCCTCCCCTTGCTGCTTGTTCAGCAAAAGGACCTTGCCATGCGGCATGCGGATGAGAAGTCTAAGATCACAAGCAGGCACAAGCAGTCACAAGCACACGCAAACACCGAAAGTTGAATCACTTTGGGTTTTTCCCGGTGGAGGTGATTTTGGGTGGGTCACCTTGTTTGAACATCACAGCAAAAGGTTGGTCCAAACCCGGAGTCATTCCCTACAACCAGCACAATGCACCCAGCTCCTCTCCCCAAAGGGCCTCGGGAAAAGAAAGAAACGACACTTACAATTAACATACCAAGATCCTGTGCCCCACATAGAAGTTCTGATTGATTTGACCCCCATGAAGCCCAAAACGAAAACCCCTCCAATCTAAGGCCCCGACGGGCACGCTCGGGAAGCTACAGCTACCCGTGGTACAGGCGATGCCTTGCAGCTCGCTCGGAAAAGGCTGGTTCAGCATGTTGGCAAGGGTACCATTGGGCAAATGATCAATACAAGCAACATATAAACACACAAACACACAAAAAACATATAACCCTAGGATTCGTTCGAACGACCATTGTTTTAATGGTCTTTACCCAAGAACCATTGTTTTACACCACCAGGTCAACCATTCTTTTTATGGTCGAACTGAAGGCTCGGGTATAAGCCAATGACGTGCCATCTGGTGCACTTGCCAAAACCCAGATATCCTGGGACGATGCGAACGTAGCAAGGTCCTATGCCTGGGCAGGACGTTGCTTTTCCTATGAAGTAGGCAAGTAGCTTTGTCCTCCCTCTACAATGGCCATCGTTTGTTCTTGAAGTGTTGAAGACACTCCACTGGCCTGGCCAAGTGTACAAGGACACTGCCCCAAACCCGAAGATGACAGCGTTCCTTCCTTCCAGAAAGGCGACGATGCCCAGTTAAGCCAGATGTGTATTGGCATTTCGCCATGCGCCATGTTGCCAATTAGGCTATAACATGCTATAACCATAAAGCAATTGGTTGGAGGCCATCGCTCTTAGGTTGGAGGCCATCGCTAGCCGCAAGTAGGTTGTACACTTGGGAGGTCTTTCGTTCTTCGTCTCTCCCACCAAACAGTACAAGCCCATCGATGTGGAACCCACCAACCCGTTCTCGACCCGTTCTCGGTGGCCCGGACGGAGCTCGCCCCAAATGGTGGCCACGCCAATGCGGCCCACCGGCCTCGGAAGAGGGAGAAACCAAGGTGCCTGGTAGCAAGGTGCCTGACTAGTAGTAACAAGAAGCTACTATACAACTGGACCAGTAACCTAGGGGGTGGTGATGTAGTAACAAGAAGCTACTATATAGTAGCTCCTGGCACAACCGAAGCCCTATCTTCCAGTCCCCGCCGCTCCCCGCCGCTCCCCGAAGCCGCACCGGTACTTTCCTCACGGCTCACCGGTCCTTGCACGTTTCGCAGGCGGCTCGGGCGCGGAGGCGGAGGGCAGGGCCATGGCAATGAGATAGTGCCGCTTGATGTAGCCCTGCATCGGCGGAGCTGAACGACCAGCTGGCGGACAACATCTCGAACGACGTCGAGCTGGATTGGTGAGGCGCTACGTTGGGCCTCACCAAAGCAGCCAAGAGCAAGAACGACGATGGACTCTGGGCTGAGTAAAACCTTTGGTACTCTGACAAATGTTCTGACACATGTCTCATGTTCTGAAAACATGCATTTCTGGACTCGTTAACTCGCTTGACCAATGATCAAGCTTTGGGAGGTGAGGTAGGGTTGGACGGTGAGACCACGACATAGGTCTAAATCTGGTGGAGTGCTGAGCGGAGAAAAAACAAAGGATGGGTTTGTCAAAGCAAAGCAGGGATGGCGTTGAACCCCAAAGGGCTTTACTAGCAAGAAGCTACTAGCAACAAGTGCATTGCTACTAGTAACAAGGGTATCGCTACTAGTAGCTAGAGTATGGAAATGAGTTTTCCCGATCTCTCTCTGTAAATGCTTTTGGAGGCCGAGAAGAAAAGCTGCGAATTCACATCCTGATTTGGATGGAGACGAAGGACCAGTCGGACAAGAAAAACAATCTTTTCTCTCACTTGCATATTGAAGACTTGTCTTGGATCAAAGACCCTCACCAAGAGACACGGCTTGTTTCCAGCACCAAAAGACATGTGAAAGCAAGCAGTTGCCCTTGGATCCTCCGGAATTGGACGCCAAAGTCCGATCTCCATCAAGTGAATCTTCCTGTCAAAAAGAGGGCGATACTTAGTCCCTTGAAGTGCTCAATTTTACCCCCTCACATGTGGTGGATGACTATCAGTTGGGGTAGTTCATGAGGCCAATCGTGGAAGTTCCGACCCTGCAAGGTTTCGGAAAACAACCAATGTGCGTGTCCGACAGACACATGTGCGCGCCTGATGCTTCCCATCCTTGTAGGACACCAAGACATATTCTCCTTGAAGGGAACAGCTTTTGGAACATCTTTGGAATCTGTTTTCGATCTTCTTCGAAGCAGGTTCTTCTCCACCAGGTCTCTCTCCAACCATTGAATCCCTGTTGACGGGACCCGAAAAAAAGGAGCACCATGTCATCATGGCATCGATATCTTTGTGGCTTGTCATTGCACCATGGGTTAACATTGTATCATTGATTCCTCATTCCACATGCTTTTCTTTTTTAACGTTCCACGCTTATCAAAGGATGTCACCAATCTCAACCACCATGATCAGTTATGTGGATGAGTGCCGTTTTTTTTTTCTGACTGGAAACACGGTTCACTTCGTCATCCAAACCACCACAAACTAATTTGCTTCCTCTTCCTCCTTCCTCTTCTATCCCTTCACGTTCTTAGATTGGAGGCCGCTTTTCCTTCCTCCTTTCTCCTTCTCCCTCCTCGTCCATCCGGGTCCAAATCTCCGTCCTTCCACCATCTCCTCCGCCTTCACTGCCACACCCTCGCCGCCCGATGGACCGCGCGACGGAAGAGGGCACGGGCGCAGCCGGTCGTCGCAGGTGAGGCGCCAAAGCTTCGGTCCCTAGGACGGCGGAGAACTGGACGAGTGACGGGGGGGGGTAGAGTGAAGCAGGATTCTTTTGGATGGAATCCGTGCCAAAGGAGAGCACTGATTTAAGGGGCAGGGATCCGAGATTTTTGGTGAGTTGATCATGTGAAAGTTTGTTTGATTTGCTTGCCTCGAGTTTGGTCTGTTTCTCGGTGAGTGGATAGGCAGGACATCCACCCACCTTACGCTATGAAATGAAGGTGAGCTGCTGAACCCAACTGTGGTGGATCTGGTCCTCTTATATTTGGTCCCTGTGACCTCTGGTGGTTTCTGGCCTGCATTTGCTGGTAAGGCTCCCAGCAACTCTGCCAGCGGAGATCACCTCAACCTTGTTAGGAGCTCACGGGACCGAAGTGACTTGAACGGTTGGTGTTCCAAGTGGCGTCGTCGTTGTCCGAGACCTGGCATCCTCAAAGAACCACGGTTCCGGATCCAACGGCGGCGGTCCATCTACGTGTCTGACCTGTACGGTGGCCGGTCTGTCCCGGTTGGACGTCCGACTCTTCGCTGGTTCCGAATTCGTCACTCCACCGTCCCTCGGCCTCTTGCCGCAGGTTCCTGAAGCGCAGAAGACCTTGATCTGTTCCTCTCGCTGAGCTGGCGGCTGATCCAACGCTGCATTTTGGGTGTGACCCCTTTAACCAAACGCTGGCCGGAAACGGGGGGGGAGGTCGAGGGAAGAAAGTGCGTCAACTTGAAGTTGCAAGACCCTCGATTTGACCCAACTTGAATAGTCTTAGGTAGGAGCCCATCGCTAGTAGGTTGGAGGCCATCGCTCTTAGCTTCTTCCCCCCTTTCATTGCCTTGACAAGAAAAGAGGTCACTTGGGTCCCTCTGGAGCCGGACGGCCCGCGAAGTCGGCTGGAAGGGCGTCGCAAATGCAGGAGACCCACCAAGAAGGACCCTCTCGGAAGGAACAAGGGCATCGCTACTAGCAAGAACGCTACTAGTAGCTCCTGGCCTTACTACTAGGAGCAAGAAGCTAGTAGGTTGGAGGCCATCACTTTGAGCCATCTACTTGGAACTTACAGGTGTCCTCCCTTTTCTTCCCGTTCATCCCGAACTGTCCTCGTTGTAGATACAGCCAATCCCCATCCACCACTGCGCCGTTGGGCACGAGGCACAAGATATTCGAGGGGCTGCGATCACCTCGGGCTATGGTCACCAGGTCCTTTAGTCAAATCCAGGAGTTGGAGTTCCAACGGGAGACAACCTCCACCTAGTAGCTAGCTTCTAGTGGCGGCCTCCAACCGACTTGCGATGGGCACCGAGCATAGCCTTCTTGTTACTAGTGTGCAGGAGTTGGAATTCGAGAAATGGGATTACACACGCACACACGCATTGTTCATCGATGACCCCATATGAGGGACCCCATGCTCCGTTTATTCTGTATTCTTAGTTGTTCTTTGTCCGATCTCACGTCTTTATCTGAAGTAAGGGCGGGCGAAAAAAAAAACACACACAGGTCTAAAACTTGAGGTCTTAGAAACGTCTCATTTCCGACAGAAACCTGCTCCGAAAACCTTCCATTGTTCACCCCTCCGCGTGGCTGGAGGGTCTCCGGCGGAGCCACGCGCCGTCATGGCCAGCGTCCAGCACGGCCCAGCGCTGGCCATCGTGGCCCGGGCTCCTGTCACGTGCGCGGCAGAACATATCACGTGATTCATCAAGCCGAAACAAAGAATCACTAAGAAGAAGCTATATCACCTATTCGCCAATTATCACTTATATCACAAAACAGAAGATATACACATAATCTATATAGAACCCAAACATGACCCCTGTTTTGATGGGTTGAGGGTCTGTCTGATCTTTTGGGCGGTTGATGGTCTAAAGTGGAAGTCACTCATGTATATATTAATATACACATGTTATACAGGTCATCTTATGTCTACATGGAGCAGTTTGGTCTGTTCTTGACTTTTGGGCTTTGGTTTGGGGGAGGCAAGGACACCCACCAACTCGAACTGGGAAACAAGAAGCTACTGGTAACCAAGGGCATCGCTAGGAACGGAGCGATCGGACACTACGAATGTCGCTCCTGGCATCGCTACTAGTAACAAGAAGCTACTAGTAACAGTAACATCACTCCACACCATTCCGTGGCACTGGGAGCGCCAGATTCCCTCCTCCCCTTCGCACCTGAGCGCTCGCGCCAGCTTCGCCAGCTCCACGGGGTCCGGCGTGGGCTCAATGCGCAAGCTGCGCTCCTCGCGGTGTGCGCTGTTCGAAGGAGGGAGCAAACAAAGACTTCAGAAGCTTCTTAAAGCTAAAAATCACTGGGGATGGGTCCAGAGCTGGAGCCCTGGGCCATCATATAGCAAACGACCTTTCAGCTGGGTTCAACCAAGGTAATTTCTATCTGGTCTTGCCCCACAGCCCAACATCTCAGCCACCAGCACGGAGATCCTAAGTTGGACGGGACGGAGCGAGGAACTGCCTGGAACCCCGGTCCCAACCAGAAACAGTGCTGGTTATTCCAACATGGCAATTGAAATCCTTTACATAGGAAATGGCTGGGACTGGGGGAACATCCATTTCTTTCTGGTTGGGACTGGGTGAAACCAGGTGGGAGGGGTTCTTTGTTCCGAACGAAGACTTTTCACGGGACCAGTGGAAAGTCCTTCAGATGGACAAGCTCCGAAGTCGGACGACACTTGATGCCGCCTTCGATGGATGATTCGAGGGTGCCACTGGACTTTGGTTTCTTTCTTACCCGTCAAGTGCTCCTGTGACCTGCCTTTTTTGGTCCAGGGGAACACCCGGACCATCTTGGTCGTTTCAGTGGTCTTCCCCTTTTCATCCCTTTTCCGGCAGGGCAACTCGGACAAACCGACCAAAAAGAACTACTCAAGTGTTCAAGAAGCATTTTGCTCTTGGTGGTGCCTCACGATCTTGTCATCTTCCTCAAAGGTGCTTCTTCACCCCTTCGCTTTCCATTTGCAGTATAGTGGAACACTTCTACTGACTTTCCCTATGACCATCTTAGACTCGACTGGGCCCAGATCGGATCCGATTTTTCCCACACTCAGCGAGCTTCAGGCACTGGGTCAGCGTGCGCCCGCGCTTCGCGCGTCAGCGCTGACTGCCCCACCCCACCCCCTGGCGCCTTCACCGGCTTCAAGTGCTTCACCTTGACGTACCCGCCGCGCTTCTCACCGCGCCGCATGCAGAAGAGGAACTCTCCATCCACCAGCTCCTCGGGCGGAGTGACCGAGGGTTCGGACCGAGGGTCGTGCAGGTAGAAAGGGGGTACAGGCTATAGCAGGTAGAAAGGGATAGCGGTAGCAGTCCAGAACCATTCTCAGATCCTATCTTTATACACATCATGGCTGATGTTTCATTGTACATGGACCTGGCCTGCCTTTGTCGCCATCGAATCCATTTTGACGATGTTGTGAGCTCGGGTCGTCTGACACCAAAGGCACTCCACGTCACGCCACGACCAAAAACTGCGGTCACCCCAAACGCTCTGCTCACAAATGCCTACCTTCAACAGAGATCGCCCCCCAAAAAACACCGCAATTGAGCAAGGGTGCACCATCCATGGCATAGCCCACCACATTCTGGGCTTCCTCCTGGCCGGAGCGACAACCCTCGGATGGGCGGACCGAGAGCGCCGACGCGCACCAGGCGCACCTGTCGCGCACCACGGGGACGCCCAAAACGAAGGGGGTGACCTTTCCATCGCTCGAACGCCCGCTGTGGATCGGTCCGCAGGGTGGAGTCCAAGTGGGAACACTGGCCGCCCGCACTTGATCTGCTCTTCCAGGTTGTGCAGGTTCCTATGTCATTCACTTATGACCGCCCCTCCCTCTTCTAATCCACCATCACCAAACACCACAGGATCACGCGAGTGATCACGGCCTCTGTGGGGTGTTTCCGCAAGAGCGCAGTACCAGTAGAGCTGGAGACCAGCCACTTGCTGCCGCCTGCAACTCGAACCAAAAGCAAAACAACACATACCGGGAGCTTCACGTCGGGGTGCCTTCCATAGAGGAAGGAGTTGGGTGCCCAGCTACTCCACATCCACTCACGCCACAATGAGCCACACCACCCAACTCCATGCGACTGGTATGTCGCCGCGGCTGGCCGCGGTGCCTTGAGGCTCCAACTGCCGCAGCTGTAGGAAGCCGGACTCCCTGGAGGCGCGCCTGGCTCCGTCGACGGCGTAGGAGCTGGGAATGGCGACCCTTTGGAGGAACAAGGACGCTATGCTCGGTGGAGGCCATCGCAAGTAGGTTGGAGGCCATCACTGCTGGCAAAAAGAAGCTAATATACAAGTAGTTCCCGGGCAAGCCGGCGGCGGAAGTTTCCTATAGGAAGAAATTGAGGACTCAGCTAATAGTAATCTTGCTAACAGCTGAGTCCAGTAGGGCTTGTCGCCGGCTGTTGACTCTTGGTGACACACGGGGGCGTGCGACGCCTCATGTTCCGAAGAAGGGCCTTGATGAAAGCACGCCCGGTGAGCAGTAGCAGTAGCAGTGACCCTAGGCTTCAACAACTGATCCTAGCAGCAACAGTAGCACTGACGCTAGCAGTAGCAGCAACTCCCACGAAAAGGCACTCCCAACCATCCCAAGCCTGATGAAAAGGAATTCGCCGTAGACGCTATCACCTGACTTCAAGATTGCCACCACGTTCTGTTCGCTGCTGTCCGGGAGCGGTTGCTTGCGCAGGTGCGACTTGATGCCACTCTTGACCTGAAATGATGACACGAAACCGAAGTAATCGGGCCCTAAATGGCGCTCCTTGGAAGGCCATCTTCTACGTCCCAGAGGGCTTTTGCACGTCCCACGTTAGTTACCACGGAGAGTGAATGCCCCACTTCTGCGAGACTTCGAAAAAAGACCTAATCTTTTTGGTTCATTCGCCCACGTCGCTCTTCGACCCGCACGCGTCCCCGCAGCAACTCGTCCCAGCGGTCACCGGTCCGTGTGGAGCAGAAAGCGGTCGTTCGACCGGGCAGGGGAGTTCTGTCGTCAGACGGGAGTGAGTGCTCAGTGGGTCAAGTGGGTCGAACCGTTGACCACTCATGACTTGGTGCCGAACCAAGCTGAACTCGGATCGCGTTCGTTGGGTGTCGATCAAAAACCATCGATCGAAGTTCACAAAGAGTGTCTTGAAGGTCCAAAAGCCGAAAGCCACCCTGAGGCCTCGCACTGAAGAGAGAGAGAGAGAGAGAGAGTGAGTGAGTGAGTGAGTGAGTGAGAGTGAATATCTTCTCCATAATACCTCCAACAGATACACCCGGCAGTGCTTTATATAACACTTTCTTTGTTTTCTTCTCTTCTATAGGGACCTGTCTTTCTCTCTTGTGTGTTCTGATTCTGTTCTTTCGAGAGCACCGGTGACCAACATCTTTACCATTCTGCTTGTTCGCAACTGAACATGTATCTTTGTTTGGGATGTGCTTGCAGGCTACTGGGGGTTTTGGTCCCCATCCAACTGAATGCTTGTGACATCTTGTGAACAAGGCACAATCCATTCCTTGACCATCAGCTGTCTCGAGTGCTAATCAGGCTGCCATGGTATGACTGCTTCTAAGACTGACACTTATTGAAGATTCAATGTGACTGTGCTGGAGGTGTTGCAGCTTACCGCGTGGCAGGCATCAGGGGTGTGACTCAGGTAAGTTAGGCTTTCAAATCAGAATGAGAGGTCTAAGTCTATGAGCTTCTTAATCCCGGCAGAGACAACAAAGACAGACAGTTCTAGTCCAGTCTGTGGAATTTGTCGGATGCAATTTCCTCTCCTCTTACCCACCGCAACGGATCCAGTTTTCTTCTCTCTCTTCCGCAACGGATTGCTTTGGGGGTCAATTTTGAGGGATCAGGCCCATCCCCACTCCCAAAAAGTTCGAGTTTTTGTTTTGGGCGAAAGGACCGCTGATGTCAGGTCATACGCTGATGTCAGGCGATCGCATAGTCTATGTCAGTGCGCTGTCGTGGTCTACCACTTCTTCGAAGCTCAAAAGCTGCGGACCCAAAAGCCGGTGACATGGATTCACATGGCAAATCAAGAGAAGGGTGGCAACCGTGTCAACCAGATCTTATGGGTAAAGAGGGTAAAGTGAAGAGGCTATGTTCTTGAAAAGAAAACGCATTGGCGGATGTGAGGGGGCCATGCACACCCTCAATAATCAGAACACATGTTGTAAACATGACATGATTATTCATCTCTGACATGTATTTTGTATGTCTTTGTCTTCCATGTCTTCCCATTTCTAAGGCCTCATTTCATTTCCAAGAGATTTCTCGTTGGAACACGCGCCATACTCGTTGGAAGGCGGCCTCAGGTCCCGACAGCTTCTCCTGGGCGATTGGGCGCGAAGCTCTGTGAAGGATCGAGAGCCGATCGCGCGGAAAGCATTGAGGTGCCTGACCTAAAACAGCGATGGCCTCCAACAAAAAGACATTTATGGCGCTTTTATTTATGGCTATCCTGATGACTCCTTTTTCCATTGATGGACCATACAGATGGGTTCCGTTCATTTCAGGCTGTGTTTATGCCCTTCCGGTTGTCTTCTTCTTCACTCCTTCTTCACCGTTTCTTGTGGTTCTTTGGATCCCTTTCGCGGATCTCGGTCCGCGAGAGAAGCGAGTTCCGACGCCTCGGAGTTCACCACGAGCAAGGCGGAGGCTCCGGACTGGGCCGCGTTGTGGGCCTCGAGGTGCGGAGCAAGACGGACGGGGCCAACGAAGACGGCGGGACTCGGCGGGCTCCGGATCAACTCATAAGAGACCCAACTCCTATCATTGCTAGGTTGGAGGCCATCGGTTCTGGTTGCAGATTAAAACTCTGGCTTTGACCGGGGGTGCCCAATTCATGCGAGGGAATCCTCGTGTTATGTTGGTGTGAAAGAGAAGGTCCAAACCGAATGTGAGCACCTCTTGTGTGCAAATTAAAGCATTGCCAGGTCCAAACCGAATGGGTACCACTGGAAGATCTCCCTCTTTGCTGTTCCAACCATTCACCAAGTAAACCTGCGTACCACGTCTCGCCAAACGGGGTGATCGCACGTTTCAACTCCGGTCCCTCATTCAGTGTCTGTGTCCACCGTTGGATCCGCCCAAAACGTTTGGTCCGGAGGTGCACCATTCACCTCCTGCACCCGCCTTCAGTGCGAAAGGCGCAAACTGCTCCGGTTGGGCACCTCACTGGCACACACGAGGGCGCTGCCTGCGAAAACCCAAAACTGCTTGACGTGGAGCTCCCGTTTGGACATCCAAACATCCCAACGGGGGCCGGATGAAGCTGCAAGGGCGGGCGTTCGACTCTCCCGGTCGCTGCTGTCGAAGACCCCGTGTGAAGCCGAAGAATGGTGTGCTTCAGCATGTTTGAGCCTGTCCGTGTTCAGACCCTCCAGACGAAGAACAGTGGAAACGCAAGGAGTCAGGACATCCCCTCAAAGATATTCATTGTCTAGATGGCAGATCTGAACATATCCATGCTGGAGACGTTGAATGACCATATCTACGTCCATGTGCTAGACTCCTAGACTTGGTGTCACATCATCCGCATGTGCTTGAATCTATGTACATCCCGCAGTAAGTCCATTCCCTCACACCATGATCCACGATGGCGAGGCCGCAGCATCCACAACGGAAACCCTCTCCCCCGTGGCCCTGCGGACATAGCCCAAATGGCTGCGCAGGGCCACACGGAGTTGGTAGAAGTTGTGAAGGTCCCCAGCGAAAGGCCAGCTAAGGGTGTTGGTTGGGTTCCCAGACCCCCCCCCGCACAGAACCGGTGTTTCTGGGGGCGGATCAAAACAAACAAAGAACAGGACGAAACCCAATGAAAAGGAAACAACACGTCCGATTCATGTCTGACTGTCATTTTCATGGCTCGGCACACCCATCGTCTGACTGGGTCGCCCGTACCGCCCCGGCGGACCAGCGCCATGAACTGGCCACCTGGGGGGAAGTCCGACGGCGCTGAGCGTTAGAAGAGAAGAGCTTCGGTGATCTGCCATAGGTCATTTTGTAGGGTTTTGGTGGACCAGGGTGGCTGAAAAGCAGGTGGAAAAGCGTGGTTCTAGGTGCTTGGAAAAGGAAGAAAGGGGGGGGGCTCTGAACTCCGATGGACGTCTCAAAGAAGCATGAATATACCTGGATCTTCCAACTGTGACAATTTCTGCATCTTGCCATGTCTCCAAGTGACTCGAGGCGTCCAGTGACCCCAATTACGCGTTCTACCCATGCCTATCTGGTGTCCAATAGATCTTCAAGATGATTGACCCGTGGAACTCCTTGTTTTAACCCTCCATGCCTTGAAACTCAACCCTCCGATAACCTAAGTTTCCCTAAAAACTCGAGGAACCCAATGGAAAATGCGAGCTATCCTGAGGGCCGGGGGGAGCTCCGGCCGAAGCGTTTTCGCTCTCCTGTGTCCAGTTCCTAGCAGCTTAAGTAAGGTACTAGCTACCTCTCCCTTACTTCATTGAGTCGGAAAGAGGGGGGAGCGGGCTCTAAAAAGAGCGTCGACGTCGACGCCTGGTGCGCCTTTGGGATCTCACGTCGATCATTGATGGGAACAGACCAAAACCCGCCCCCGGCATTCATTTTCGCCGATCCCAAGGGCCCCAAAGATTCGAGAGGGGGAAAACGTGTCGAATAGGCACGCACTGGTTCCGTCTTTTCCTCGAGTTCCCAAAACAAGACGGGCCAAAACTTGGACCTTCGAGGCTTTTGGTGGGTCTTTCAAATCCGGCAGGGCTGATCCTCAGGAGGCCTGGTGCCACCCCTCAAGATTGCTGACTCGCTTTGAACCCTCGACTAGGCCACTTTTGGTTCCGCTGGCTGCCTGAGCAACATCGGCCATCGCCCAACCATCGTACCATCGTATCTGAAAGGGTTTTCCAGGTCCTACCGAAGACATGGTCGAACACAAACCAAACAGCTCCCCTAGACTTTCAATCGACGAACAAATTGGAACGACCTGGCGACCTGTCAGGTAAAAATCCTTAGTGGATTCGGAATGACCCGCCTATTGAATTAATGGTGGGCCAGGAAGCCGTATGGGAACCTGCCGGTTTCGAAGGAAGTTCACATCCCCGGTCTTCGCCATCCACGTTTCCAGGACGGATCCACGTCTCACCGAGTGCACGGCCGTGGAAGGAGTCCCCGGCCTGAAGGCGAAAACGGGTGGAACAGATGCAATTCACATCGTCCCAATGACCGAAGAAGTGGAAGTGCTTTTCAGTCCAGACCCCGGATTCATGGCCTTCCATTTTGGAGGGCTATGAGGGGTGAATCATGGTGAATCTATAGGCAAAAGAGAAGAAAAACCGTATGATTTACACTTATCGTCCAATTGGATTACAAACACATCTTGTGCCTCCACGTCCTTTTCTCATCTGCCCATCTCTAGAGTTGCTCGGCCAGAAAAAGCAACTGTTTTCCATTGTTTTCCTAGAACGGCTGTGGAAAGAAAAGCGCAATGAACACGCCTGTGGCTTCATGCATGTACTGCCCGTCCCATCTACCGTCCCATGTCCGGTGGCTTCATCGGTCCGTGCCCCGAAGATCGAACCCGATTCGTCCGTGTCCACCGTGTCACTTCGTGGACAAGCGAACGTGACACGCGACACGTTTTCCACGGAAAAGCGTGTCGGCGTGTCCAGACCAAAGGAGACACGAAAGGAGACACTGAAGCTCCAAGCTACTAGCGATGGCCAACCCGAAGAGCGTGGACGTGGGCATCAGTGCCGACCCAAGAGGGGCCACCCCCTCACCCACGTCGCCCGCGTGGAGCACTCGTGTCACCTCCAAGCCGAATTCATCCTCTGCTCGGTGGAGCACTTCGCCGGTGATCTGCTGCCCGGTCTGAGTCGGAGACGAAGCTTCAGGTCGATCAATCAGAACTTGGGAGCTAGAAGCTAGAAGCTACTAGAAACAAGAGCATCGCTACTAGTTGGAATGCACTTGTTACTAGTAGCATTGCCCTTAGGACCTTCTTCTAGGAAACATCATGATGAACCTGAAAGCCCTGTGAAGTATGTGTCAAGCAAGTTGTAGTGGAACAAAGCCTTGCAGTCGTCGATGTTCCTGGTTTGAACTTGAGGCCGCACCAGTCAGTCGGGCAGCCAGTCGGCCCTCCTCAGAGGAATGATATACTAGGTGCGAATTAGAACGAGACTTGTTGGTCAGCCAGATTTGGAACGCACTTTTTCATGAAGGAACGCTCGAAAAAAAGAAAGAGATCTGTCGCGACAGCGAACGCCCAAATGACCAGTCCAAAAAGCGGCACGGTGCCCCCCCAAAGGGACGCAGCGAACAGGTGACACACGCGGCACACGTGGCGCAATGCAAATGACACAAGGGAGCGGGGGCCAATTGCAGTGCTATCTTGGACTCCAGGTGTGGGTGGAAAAAGGTTTGATGTCAATGCATCTGAAGAAAAACTGCTGGAGACTGTGGCCCCTTGGGGAGTCCTTGTTTGGTGTACTGAACCAAACAAGTTCATTCATTGAGACACCCACACCCTGCTTCACCCTACTTGTCTCACAGATCTCACAGTCTATGTGTACAAACCTGGACCTAGCGGCTAGCGCGCTGTGTGGCGCGTCGATCTTGGGGTCTTCCGACTTTGTCCCATCTTCACTTGCCCAAGTGGCCGCTTCGGAGTTCCACACGGCTCTCTGCGCATGGGTGGTGATCCTGCGCCGCTTGCTCCCCGCAAGGAGCGGGGCAGGACTCGGACTGGAAACGCCGAAGGGGCTTCGAGCTATGACAAAACAAGAAGCTACTAGTAACAAGTGCCACGCTAGTAGTAA